AACGGGCCGACGTAACGCGGGATATGCAAATAGTACTCGGCTTCCTGACAGTGTCTCGACCGTATTTTTTAACTGTTTGAAGTGCATCCGAGAGAGTGCCCGCGGGAACTTTCTTCATTCTCGTCGGCGCGCGGCGACCGACGCGGCGCCGCGTTATTCACAGCAGGTGCAGTTTATACTTCAACTTTGACTTATAATTCAAAAATTCATCCGCCCAACTTGCTGTAAACCCTATGCAATTTAAATGAGACACGAAGAGGCGTGAATTTAAATTCATATTTGACTGCCGTCGTCGCTTGCGGGGGTGCCGCAAAGTGCCCTTTCATTTTTCCACGAAACGCGCGTTCCGACTGTCGGGATTTCGTAACGAACGACCGACCAGCCGTTCAGTTGCCATTACAGCTGCCACATGATTTCGGGTCATCTCGTGTTTCACGAACGTGTCTCCCACATGAAAAAGGCAATTTTCCAAAAAAGGTTTGCTTATTAGTCATTTAAATCCATCTGTCTAGACGATCCATGAAGTAAACACGAGAAGCTTGAGATAACCGATATATATATTTTTTTAGGCATCTCGACTTTGCTACAGGAACATTAAAATCGTGCTCTTTCATACGCTAATCGAGATATTTGACGCGCATTTCGAGCTCAGCACACACGGCAATTCTTCGAATGCGAGGGTGAAATTAATAGGCATAAAAATATAATCGACCGGTGGAACATACCGGAGAGATATTCTATATGGATCGCACACGTCAGTATCCACTCGAACGCCTCCGCCGCTAATGTCTGAATAAATATATCGCGGTAATGGCAACGTTAATTGATCTCACGCACGATGTCGAAAGTGCTTCAGCACGGAGGAGATAGAGTGGCGGATACGCCACCCGTCTCTTCGTCTTGAATTACACACGAAAGTTCGCGCGGCATAAAATATTCAAATCGTTTTATCAACGTTCTACTTCGCAAAACAACATTTCTTCATGTACGTTGCAGCTTGCTTTTACGATATTGTTTTCTCTAAAGTACAAATTCAGGAGGAAAAAGAAGGCGACGCGTGAGAAAACCGTGCTGCGAAACTTGCGCTTCGTATAGTACGGAGAAAAACGGTGATGGGGACGGCGAAATTAAGGAGCGCAATGTAATTTGTATATCAAGTAATGCAATTGTATATTTTAAAAATGTAAAGGGACGCTGCTATACGCGCGCGGCGCAAAAGCACGCGTAGTAAAAAAAAAAAAGTCGCGACAGCGAAACCATCGCTGCTGCGGCATTTGATGCGGAAGCGTCGAAACTTTGTTGTTGTTTTCATCAATATAAAAATTCGCGTTGCAATAATAAGTTTATTTCGTTTGCCAGAAGTTAATCCCGCGAGCATGAAAGATAACGAATAAATAACGCGATTACAACGTGAAATCATAAAATTCGATGTATATCGTAAAACAATATTAAATTAAATGTTGAATTATAAATTGAATATTGATAATAATATTGACATGTAATTAAGCATTGTTTGTAGGCAGAATCGCTGATTAGTTTGCCCTGTTTGTTGTAGAAAACCGCGGTGTAAAAGCCGTCGACCAGAAAACGGCGAGATAAAAATCGATCGAGCATTCGTTTAGCGAACGTATCGCCAAACTTTTAAAATGGTTTCGCAATTTATTTCAGTATCCACAAATAAATTGTTTTTCGTGTCGCGCAGTGCGATTTTCGTTTGCGCTTTTTTAACGAATTTTTCGCGTGGGCGAAATTGCTCAGTGCGGGAGATCGCGGAGCGCGAGGAAGAGGCGAGAGGAGGGAGACGAGAAAGGCGGAAGAGAGAAAGAGGGCGAAATTTAGCGTCTATCGAAAGGGTCGATTCGTCGAAAGGGGAGCGACGCGCTGATAACGCGAGCGTTGAATGAACACGACCGGGGCGAGATTCGCGCCCTCCGCCACGATCGGCTTTATCGTATACATTATACAAACTTTGCTCTCGTCGCCGCCGCGGTCACCGCCGTCGTCGTCACCACCACCGCCTCCACCCCCGCCGCCGCCGCCGCCGCACCTAATCGCCGAGTGATAAAACACACCGCAGCGAACGCAGAATGGGTCGCGCGGTGTGTCTCTCTCTCACCCCGCGTTGCACTGTATGCGGTCATAAACGTTCGCTCGATACGCGCGGAGAATGCGTCAACGCGTTTACATTTCGTTGATGAAAGGCACTTGCAGCGGGCGAGCTTTGGATGCTCGACCAATTTGTCGGAAGTTTCCGCGAAGGCGCTCGCACGTAATCGGATACGTGGGCTAAATCTTGCGTCAAACGAGTGGGATGGGATGAGTAATCGCGTTTTGCAAAAGATACAATGAGATAAAAATTTCTCTTTTCTCTTCCGCACATCAACAATTTGATAAAATTAAGGCACTTGTATAGGTATATTCCCGCGTGTCACATTATGAAATTAAATAAATTGTTCAATTGCTGCATGTTTCTTGATTATGTACTTCTAATCGAAATAATTTTTCGCGACAAGAGACAACAATTCTTTAAGAGGCGACAATAAATTTCTGAATCTAATGGATTAAAAAATAAAAATTAACATTTATAAGAAGTTAGTCATTGTTCCCAAAAGAAACCGATTCTATCCTTATTCGTTCTTCTTTCTTATATCTTTTTTACTTTTCAGGTTTTGAGTTATACGTCATAATTTTTCATCGTGTCGAGTAGAACAAACTATTTCGGCCAGTGGAAAGTCGTGGAAATCATTGTTAACACGTGGCAAATAAAATTGGATTTATCCAAAGTTATGCAGTGGCAACTGTCATTTCGTTGCTGTCCAGAATGAAGAAACATACATCATTTTTAATGTAAATATAATAATTTATAATGTCAAGCTACATGACTTTGAACGGAACAGAGCAGGTATAAAATCTAATGATTCTCTGTTCCCCTCATCTTTTTATATATCTCAACATTATCGCTGATTTTGCGGGTTTTATCGAAATTTTGTTATCGCTATGTGGAAGTAGGACAGAGGGATTTGTGCCTCTGTAAAGCGTACATCACATTACAAAGGACACGTCCGTCAACAGCACACGCGTGCGACCCAGCGTGGAGGCCGCATCTTGTTACCAATTCACATGACATAATGTTTCACAGCGAAATCGAGTTCGGTATCGCATGCGTGATAAAATCGTGCTCGAGATTCAAAGCTAACACAACACAGGCCTCATCTTGCGTGGATGTTTGCAGTGATGCAACCGCAGATAGTATCTGTCAGGCATATAAATCGTAAACGCATCGCATGACTTTGTAATCTTGGAAATTTATGCCCAAATAATTATACTTAAAAAAATGACAATTAGTATACAAAAATTTTTCTTAAAGATAAAACTTTTGATAAATTATTTTTTCCTTTATTAAATTGTAAAGTAAGTTTCGAGCGATTTAATTAAATAAAGGACGTTTTTATATCAATTGAATTTCTAAGCACCTAAAAAATGGTTTTGTTATAAAATAATGTTATAAGTGCAAGTAAACCTTTATAATTTAAAGTTTAATAAAGATATAATGTTATCTTCTAATTATATTAATGTATATGAATATTAATATTGAGAATTTAATTTAGATAAATTATAGCTTAACTTGACGAAAAATCAAATATGACAAAGAGTGTATTTTATTAAAATTAATATCTATCCTTAATTGAGAGTCCTAAAATGTCATTCCATTTATTTCATCAAAAATATAGATTTACGGTTAGCAATCAATAACAACAAGCGTATATAGTTAATGAAATATTAAAATGGCTTCCTAATTGTAATGCAACAACGTTAATTGTAGAAAACAACGTTATCACTAACTGGTATAACAAATAAATTATCGAATAATGATATTGCCAACTGTTGCACGATTAAATAAAAAAATATCTGATTAACCTAAATACGGTATTTTTTATTTGATTATCATTATTTAGGTCCTTAGAAATATAATAATCAAGATAAATGCAATAAATGATAAAGTAATATATATACTATATATATTATAATATACTGCATTTCTCCGTATATAGTTAAATTTCCTATGAATTATCAGAAAAAAAAGAGAGAACTATATGTATATAATATTATAGTTTTAAGCAAGTATGTGTTATTAAGTCACAATAGATGTACAACGTGAATATGCGAATAAAAAGAGTTTGTAAGTGACCATTGTGGAAAATGCTTCAGGTAAAATTATTCTCGGTGAAAATATATTTATAGTAACATTATGTTAATATAATATATATCGTACTCAATAATACAATTGTCAGGCCGTGAGCACAATCGAAGAAATATTAGAAAAAGGAATAAATATAGGAAATTCAATCCATCAGAAACCGTCGAATACACGATTTCTGCTATGTTGAAATTCCTATATTTATTCCTGTTTCTAATATTTCTTCGATTGTCACGGCCTGACAATTGTATTATTGAGTACGATATAAATAAAAGAATTAAAGAAATTAAATTATCTAATCGCATCATATATCTTACGTATAAGTATACATATGTTCTTTTGATAGAAATGCGATTAGACAATTTTTTTATGCATATATATATGATTATGCAAGTTTGTCTGGAGAAGCTCTTAGCATTGGCATTTAATTTCTTAATTATTGATAATAAATTACGTAATTTAATTGTTCTATTCACGGAAACAATTTTCTACATTAATTTTTATCACTCATGATTATTCGAATTATTCGACTCGTCAATTTCATTTTAATGAATGACGAAACCGCGGATATCAATGCCATTATCCTATCCGTTTTATCAGCCTTTAATTTCACCTAGCCGAAATAGTAAATTAAACATTATAAGACAGAGCGAATAAGTCGATCTATTCGTGTACTTAATAATTCTTGAACTACGAATAAGTGTTATGACATGCGCGCGATGCACTAGTATGCAAATGGAGCGTCAATGGAGCGTGAGCATTCTGTGTATATATCTGTATACCACGTGACGTTGACACGAGTCACGCGAGTCGCGTCGCGCGTGCGGCGTGTTGCACGTGGTCGCGCGTCAGTATCGCGAGTTCTGGAGGCTCTTTAAAAAAAAAAGATGGATCTGTCATCCTCACCGCGATACGTAATTCGCAGTACAGAGGAAGATAAACAGAAAAATCCTGCGCTCTCAACGAGATACGAGCGTATAGCGGAGCAGTCTCGTATCATAAAAAATTGGAAACCGCAGAGCGATGTGTATACATAACCTCATTTTACTCGTGTTTTATTTAAAAGCCGTACTATACTCGACAACGCGCTTTTAGACGATTCGATTTCGTCATTCAGACATCCGTTGGTGCGCGCGCGCGCGCGCGCCAAGAGTTGTATATACATAAAATTTCTCTCATAATAACATCCGATAAAAAAATCCTATCGTCGTAGATGGCCATTGAGGTATGGACGCGGTATTTTGATCGGCGCGGCGACGCTCAGCGGCCTTTACATTAACGCCCGATTCAGGGCGAAGCTGAAGCTCCGAAATTACGGGACATTCGTCACGATGTTAGGTCTCACAGTATCGCCGGCCACGGCGGCTGGTCTTTTACATACACAGGTATTGGGCGAGTGAGAACCGATTAAATTGGAGCAGCGAGGTCTGGGGAGCAGAGTTTGATAATATAGAAAATATACATATTTTCAGTTTATCCTGAATAAGTTAATATTACTAGAGGTACCATGTCCCTTGTGCCTGGAGTCCAGGTCGGCCTTGGCGCAAACTTGCAGCGGGGTATTTCTGCCAATGGTACTAGCACCGCTTGCAAACTTCTCGGTAAGCGACAAAACTTTACTGTTATTTTTTTCTCGCGATACCGATATATTCTGTCGAGTTGTTTATTACGTCATTAATCGTATTTGAATCATAGATTGCTGCTGGCAGCGGAGTATATAATGTGCCATACGTAACTGACGTAAGAGGAATATTGAGAACTGTCTGGTCAGCCTATCAGCCGATGATTCCCAAAATCGCAATGATTTTCACTTTTCACGCGCTGCTGGCTAGTTTTGTAACGTACTTACAAATTAGGTCTTTCCTTCGCATGCTAGATGCACAATATCTAATAGAAGAGGAACAAGCACAAAAGCTTAAAAATTGAGAAACAAGTTTCTGTGAAATTATTTATGTAAGTATTGTAAAATATTGTTGTATATATTACAATTATAGTAAAATACATAATTAAAAATATATAATTGAAGAAATATTTATCGAAGTAGACCTCTCTACTCCATTCTATATTGAGGATCAACATTTAATAATATTATAAGGATAACAAAAGAATCGTAATATTTTGTAGAATATAAAATGTATTTTTATTTCATCATTGACATAATATTATAAGATATCTATAATCATTCACTGATATTCTTGCTTTTATTAAGACAACTATGCGTCTCGTACATATCTACTTCCTTTTCTCAAAATTAATCCGATATCTAGGCACCATATGATTTGTTACAATAATAAACGCTTTCCAACTGTTTGAAAAGATCGCTGCTTTAAATGTCGATAATACATACGGTTTTACTGATTCCAAGAGAATTTTTCCATATATAATGTTGACTCTTTCAACTTTGATATAAAGTTTAACTTACGATATCGAGTCAAACGTATGTATTATGTCATACTGTTAAATGTAATACGTTAAATTTATACTTATAGGCTCAAGTAAAATAGCAAATTCGATATTTTCGATTACTCCGATTAGATACATACTTTATCGTGGAAAAATCTGGAAGTATTTTACGCAGGCTTTCAATAGTTAATAGACGAGAATTACGATCGAGGTCAAATCACGCTTATTCCTCTATTATATTAAACGAACTACTTGAACATCGTATTATTAAATTTGGGAACTTCTTGAATTTCTACCCCCAGCTTGTATTCACAAACGAAAATGTAGCATTCTTATTTTACATGTCTATGTTACATTTTTTTTTATAGATATTTTAATCAGAAAAAAAGGAATCTTTTTTCGTATGGCTTGATTTCCAAAGTCAAATTGGGCACAGGTGACCGTACTTTTTTGATTTGCCAACTACTCTAGAGTTAAGTATATTACTGGCAGTTTACTGGACGTTACACAGGGGCCCGAGTAGCAAGGAGATCCCAGGAACTATGTGTATGCGATAAGAATATATAAAAGATAACACCAGATGCGGACGCATCGATTCAACCAAAGTACAACAACGTGACCTGTTTATTCATTCGGTAGGAGTAGGATTTGTATAATACCTACAACAATGATTATGTTGGCAGTGAATGAAATCAGCTATCATATAGCCGTGGAATCTATGAAGCAAGACAGTTTAATATAAAATATGCCTAAACTTCTATTCATATGTGACAATGCTGTTTTAACATACCGCGCATTTAGGGTACACCGATGTGTATTACCGGTCAAGATGTTTTCCAGATGTTTATCATTTCCTGTGCCATTTCACCAAATGCACGTAACTCAATTTCATACATCTATAGCACATACAATTGTATTTTTGCTCTTTTCCATAGTATCTTTGTCTACTTTTAAGTGGGAAAAGATTTTATCTGATGTCACATTATAATGAATGAGTCATTACCATGATTTGCACAGCAATCAACATCACAATGAGATCGTCATTTTTGTTTTAATGTCTTACACCTATATGTTATGCCTATGCCTAATATATTTTTTTGTTAGTTGTGATGTAGTCCATTGCTTATTTACAGTAGAGGTCCATTCTAAAGTTTTTCGATTGATGTTGAGATTAAAGCAAATAAATCATGAGTTTCTTTTAAAATTAGATATTAAAATCAGACAAATCACGATATTAGAACTTTAAAAAACACTCAAACATAACGATTTGATTAATTATTATTGTTAATTTATAGAATCCTCTTTGCTGTAATAAAACTCTGGACTGTAATCTAAACATTTTAAACTTCATTGTAGGAATGGTATAAATATGCAACATTAAAAATTTATACAATATTTATATCTACATGTCACTTTTGTGTTTCATCGTACAACGGTCTGCATGTGTTAACAAAAAAAAACAGATAAAAAAGATCAATGCCCATAAATAAATTAGTATAAAACATTTAATAACAATGAAAGAAAAAAAATGTATTTATACCATTGATGCAAGGAAATTCTGTTCAGATGTGTAGTGTTATTGTGTGAAATAATTATGCAAATATGAATTAACGGCTACATTAGATCTTAGAAAGAAAATAACTTTTATGCGTTCTACAGAATAGCGCATCCGTACTATCTTACAGAATGCTCCAACTAAATTTTTTCCTTGAATATTATTTTAAAAATCGAAGCATTTCATTGCTCGCATATATTCGCTGATAATTTGAATTTGCTTTTACAGGCAATGTAAACAGGCGACCACGATAAATTTGTGCATTATCGAATGAATGGACTAATATAGTCACAATTAATTATAGACAGTATTATGTATACGGAAATTCTTGGCGTCACTTTTCACAAATACTAATATGAGTGTCTAATGTTCTAGCACGATGGTATAATGGCAAAGCTACAATCGCATAGTATTTACATCGTAACGATTAATGGCTAGTCAAATGTTCGACAGCAAACTGAACTTGCATTGTTACTCGCAAATAGATTATTTTCGTTTTCAGTTCAAATTTAACAATCATAAAATTGTACAATACGAGAACAAGAATCTACCATATACAAATGTCTCTATGCCGATAATATTATTTATGCTTACAACGAATGTTTTGGAAGAACATTGCCACCATATTCAAGACTGTATTTTTTTTCCGCATTTCTTTTCACAGACGAATAAAAATCGCATAAGAACTGATAATGAAAGTGAAAAAAAGGACAGACACTATAAATGCTGCTGAACAATCAAAATATATATAATAGGCACCAATTCAAGCAATAGAAAATAGTACATAATAGTCGCCTTCAATTATATTCCTTTATGCATTTAATTCATTTATCTGCGTTACAAAAGTTTGTAAAGAATAACGATACAGCGTACTGAAGGATGCGGTACGCATAATTCTATCAGAATGGTGGATAGTTTTGCATAGGTACCACAACCGGAGGAATTGGTGGCAGCGGAAGTGTGTGTATAAATGTGGGGTGATTCGGCTGAACCATAACTAATGTATGCTGCTGATTGGCCATGAAAGAGTTGTATTGTGTGGTACTGTATTGTGAGTAAGATGCGTTAACTGTGTCTGAAATATTTTTGTAACAAAATGTGCCGGGCGTTTGGCATGGTAGGGGCCCCTGGATAGGACCCCAAGCCAGCTGCTAGCATCGTCGGTTATGCCAATGTGTCATGTAGTCTTGATAGCTTACAGTAATCTTCTCGCTCTGGTATCGCGTCAGCTTCACACTGCGTCTAATATCCGGCGTAACTAAGCCCTTGTAGCCACCCTTATGTAATAGCGAGTCTATAGTTTGTATCTGGTCCCAACCTATTAAAAACAAATGGTGTTGATTTAGCGAACGATAAGTGTTTAAGAAATACTTGATTACGTATATTTAAATTAAAGATAAATAATTTTATTTAATACATATATATTGTAAATAATTTTATTTATTAAATAAATAATTTTAATTAAAAAAATACTAATGAACAGCTTTCCAATAATCCGCAGTACACGTGCATATTTACGAACCTTGTTCAGTCGCAACATCAGGTAAGTAAGTAGCAGTTCTCTTGTTGCCTTTTTCATTATGGAACTCTATGCGAATCCCATGGACTCCTATCTCCCAATCTAAGTAGTCCACGCCGTCTTCAAAGTGCCGCAGTATAGAAACGCTTACGTGTAAGCGTGGAAGTTCCTCTCGCGTTATAGGATTGAATCGCGAATCCTTGAAAGCACTGCGAAACACAAGTTGGTCGTATGAAAGCATAATCTAAAATTCTAGTCTGATCGATTTGAAGAAAATATATGTGTTACCTAGTAGTAGCATATTCCCTAAGTCCTGCGTGTAAGTGCATGGCATTGAATGTACCGATACAGCCGCGTAGTCGCATATCCTTTCCAATAGTCCATGTTACGAACAGAGGACTGGAAAGACATAAAAAGAAGCGTTAGTGGGAGAATAATCACAGGCTTCAAAATAGACATCGATTCATTCTTTCTTATAAAAAGAGAGCCTGTTCTATTACATTGATAATTTTCTCTTGATTATTTTAGTTACGAAAGTACAGGACTGCTAAATAATCAAGTTCTTCTTAAATCAACAATTAGAATTAAACAATGCTTGTATTATCATCTCTATGTAAATAGTTTGTGTAAACATTATAAGATACATCTATCTAATGATCAATAATCGTCTTTTAAACAACTGGAGCAAAACAAAATGAAGGAGTGAAACATAGACAAATCCTAGTGTCAACCTTTGTCAAAGATCTAAAGGAGATCTGGAAAACATAAAGAGAAACAAATTCCATAAAAACGTTTACATTTCAGTTAAAATTATTCGGAAGCAAAACAAAGCTGGTGTTTCGCATAACCTCGGCGGAAGGTCAGCAGCACGAGCCAGACGGAGTAGAGGATTCCGAAAATACAAGAAACGTCCTTCAGGAGACGCATACCGACCGACGTCCTCGTCGTCTTTCCTCTCTACCCCCTGTCCATCTACTCCGCGACAACGATGGTTGAAGACACAAAAGCAGTGGTGGTTTCAACAAAGAGACGCACTGGCGTGGGTGACTGGGAAGAGTGGGAGGGTGGGGAGGGGAAGAGGGGAAAGGAGAGCGATGGAGAGAGAGAGAGAGAGAAAAAAGGTGCCACGATGCAGGATGGACGAGATGGACGTGGGGTGACGGGGGACAGGGAAGGCGCGCACGGGAAAGCAAGCCACGAGCGAGAGAGAGAAAGATGTGGCACGCGGGGGCACGTAGTCGGGACAGGGAGGAAGGGATATGTTGGACGCTGAGGTGACTAGCTCAGTGGGTGGCTCTAACTCACAATGCTTCGTTGCTGAAGTTGGGCGGTTTTGGTGGGTCAAGTTGGTGCAGTTGGCAGTAGAGGACGTCGAAGCAGTAGAAGCCCATCTCGGGCTGCACGATCGGTGTATTACGTATACGCGTGCCGTTCGACATCACCGCCGTGCCGTTGCATGGTACGCCCGCGGAGTTGTTGAGCTTCTGCTTTTTCGTACCGCAACAGCCGGCAGCCATGTTACCGTCTCAGCCGTCGCCGTCGACCACTGCGACCCGAACTGCGGACACGAACGGTCTACGACCCGTATGCGGCCTCACTCTTGTCCGCTCGCACGTCGCGGCCGTCGCCGTCGTCGTCGTCGCTGCCGCCGTTGTCTCCTCTTCGTTGGCCGTAGCGTGCCGTGCCGCGCGCGCGCCCCACCAGATGGCGCGGCGCGCGCTAAAACAGCTGTTTCATCACCCGCCATTTTCGCCAGCCCCGTCATCCTTTTCGCGCTCTTCAATACGACCGGCGGCGTCCGGAAGGACGCATCAGACGCATGTTCATTCGTTCATCCACGAGTCGACTCCGCCAGAACGACCGCTGACATGCAAGGCACCCTTGTGTAAAAATTCATTTAGCGTCTTCTCTTCAGCTAAGATAACTAAGCTTTTTGAAGCGTCGCGAACTTGACATTTTGAAATTGGAAATATGAAAGAGAATGAGGATTTTTTAATAATTAACAATTTCTAGTTACTTGAGAGAGAAGTCTAGTTTTAATAATAAATAATAAAATAATGAAATTTAATAAATAAGATTTAATTTAAAGTAAAAAAAAACTTTGTTACAACGTATGTTCATGTCATATGTTACGTGTCAGTTGTGTGACATATAAAAAAGACACATGTATAGTCTGTTACAAATTTCAAAGGATCGAAAAAAAAAAAGTATATTTCTCACAACTTATTCAAAATAATTCCAGAAAATATAAAATTTATAAATCACTTGTAAACCATATCAAAGTAAACAACTTAATCATATGACATGATCACTATAAAGTAATTTAACCATGACATAAATCTTATAAATACAATTATTTTTTAGTTAAGTTAAAAGTTCATTTTAATATTTTAACTTAAACATATGATATTTTTTAAACTTTCAATATTTATTTGTTGAAATCTTTTAAAGAAAATCAGATACTTTATTATAACTGTATAATTATTATTTAAAGATTAAATAATAATCGGTGACTCAAGAACATGAAGGCGGATTATAGAAAATTCACAAAAATTATTAAGCAAAAATCTCGCCCAGTGGCCGAAAATATTTTGGTTATGTATTATACTCTAATTTTGTTAACGGCTAAAAAATATTGTTATATTTATATTTCCATATTGTACACATTTTCAAATTAATTAGTCGTACATTACGACCAGGATCAAATTTTTGACTTTTTAAAGATATGCGCGAAACGACCGGTATATTCCATCGGTTTAATCTAGCGTTACGAGTTTGTATACGAGACTAGCGGACGGAGTGAAAGCGACGATCGAGCCCGAGCGAATGTCTTATAATTCGTATATTTCCTCAACTTCTCCGCAATCAATAGGTCGCCGTCGATTACTTACCGCGGCAGTTGCCGCGAGAAGACGTGCCGACTTCGAGCGTCGATCTCATCACGCACCCCCAGCCGCGTCTACGAGGGTGGAAGCGGCGATACCTGCACGCAACTACGTCGCACATGGAGCGTAGCGTACAAAACCGGCGTGAACGAACGCGAACGAACTACGCGTCGTTGCTGGAATGACGCGCAGCGAGCCGCGCGATTTCCTCTTGAGTTGGTAAAATTTCTCGCGCGGGACGAGATAAGCGCGTCGCGGGGAGGCGAAACGTACGCGGACCTCGTCGGGAACTCGTCGCGGAACACGGCACGCGCAATATGTCGACGCCCGTGGCGCGACCGGGTAACCGCAGCGATCAAGAGGGATTATTCACTGTCAATTTCCCAATACGGGGGAAACTGTCACGGCACCGTAACTGCGGCGATAACGCGGCCGTCGTGTGCGCGTCCCGTTTGTATACGTGAAAAACGCGTTGAACCGTGCGAAATTCGGTGCCGCGTCGTCGGCCGATACACGCCGATACGCGCGTCTACGACGCGACGCGGCTGCGGACGGTCTGAAGTAGTCCGACTACTCCGACTGTGCGTCGCGACGCCGGTTGCATCGCACTCGCGCGCGCGATACTACGGCGCCATCTCACAACCGTTCCATTGCACTTTAAAAAAATTATATACATACAGTAGATCTGTATATACATATATATATACACACACACACTGGAATATGACAAGATAGAATTGTTTAAGATAGATTGAATATATATACATACATACATACATATATATATATATATATATATATACTGTACATATACTGTAAATAGAAATATAATATAAAATTCACTTTCAGAGACGATTCTATCTTGAAACAAAAATGTTATATAAATTCTGATTCAAATTGTCTTCTAAAATAAATTTAGGCGCGAATTATAGATTGTCTAAAGTGGGTTTAAGCGTCACTTGTTTATGTTCCTATTTATTTCGTATCTTGAAGATTCGTTTGATGAAATAAATTAAATATGGATTTTTGTGTAATTTTTATGTATTATAAATGAATGGCAATATATTTTCTAATCAGTAAATATATTAATATGCGCGATCATTAATATACTGTCGACTTACAATCAAGTCATAGCCATATAATCATGAACTTTCTGTGACTGAGCAATTATAATTCGAAAACTACTGCTCGAAATAAACATCAAACAGAAAACTTTTATTACTTATAGTAGTTACAGTTTTTTTTATTACTAAAATTTTTTACTGTAATATTATGATTCGTAAATTTTGGAACACATTATCGAAACTTCATTATATGTATACATATAATAACGTGAAACGACATATTTTATATACATGTATAAGTTGCTGTTTTTCAACTACGCTTTTTTACATTTATTGCATTTAATTGAAATAAGAGTGCGCTTATTTTTCACGTATAATATAAAGTAATTATACATTTTCGGACAAAGAAAGAGATAAGGAATAATGCGGAAAGAATTTATTACAATGGTCTTTATGACAATATAAAAGTTTATTTTACCTTTTCATTGCAATAGAATTGTCTAGTACCTTGATGTAATTTTTGCATGAATTCTATATTTCTTAATATGAGAAGATGAAAGAAAGAAGTGTGTATGTGTGTGTGTGTGTGTGTGAGAGAGAGAGAGAGAGAGAGAGGAGAGAGAAAGAGTTATGTTCGCTAGTGTTCTTATGAATAAATAAAGAATGACCCGTAGGTTTCGCTGTATTATTAATTTACAAATGCAATCAAAGTGAGCATACAGTCGTTTGATATCGTATTAATATTACACTAGTATCAGATATGATATCCAAGTACGATAATAAATATTAATCTGACAAGTACGCTTTGCTTTGGAAATTATTAATATTTTTTTTCGTCATGCAATCCCACATTACATCATGTCAATTATCCAGAGAGAAAGATTAAAAGTACAGTGTAAACTGTACATGTATGTATGTACAAAGTGCTTACTCTATACGCAATTATAAAAATGCGTACATCGAGATTTCTGTGGCAGTTTCACAAAATACAGAATGAGATTTCATTCAGTAAAATTCGTATGATAATTATCGATCTTAAATGTGTTCAATATGGCTATATATGTATATTTAATTGCACTGTGATAACATCAATGACTTACTCTTAGTGTGTTTTTATTGTATTTTCCTAAACTCTTCTCGGCAAACACGATTACAATTTTACTTGTATATCGCAAAATATAATTACACAACGCTAGATAGAATTATTTTCATTCACACTGCGGTGAAAATGCATCGTTTCATACATGTAAACCGTAATAATAATGTCCATTACATAAACGGAGTTCCATAGGCCAAACAAGCGCAATATGTGAATCGACAAGTGTGGCAGTTCGTTGGACATTTTTATGCCGAGATTCACATAGAAGGCAAGATTTTAGGAACTCACTCTAATTATTATCGATGCAAATGTTTCACGCAAATAATAATAACATGTACTAACATGGATAAACCGAGAATAACACATATTATAACGAAGATAAGATATACAATAACAATTTTCATTTATTTCCTAACAAATATTTCATTACTCATCGTATTCATAATATAAAAGAGATAACAGGGCGAATAAATTGGCAGTGTTTAAAGCCCGCTACTAGGAATAGCTGGCAATTCAAGGGAAGATTAACGATAGAATTAACGACGAAAAAAATATGTCATTAATTTTAGTTTATATCGTCATATTGCGAGATTAGAATTTTTGTGAAATATACATTATAGATGCACGGCATAAGTTACTGCAAATGGTGCAACTATCGACGAAATTACGATAACTTAACAATCAAATAACATAAATTCACAATGAGATCTTTTATACTTTTTTTTGTTTTTTACGGCTAACTTACATGTCTAATATTTATATTTTCTACTGTATTACGATTTCTTTTTATATACTTTAATAACTAAATCACAATTAACCACAGAAAATTTACTTCTTTGTCAAACTTGCTGTCTTTTGGATGCAATTAAATGCATAACTGATATATTTTAATGAGGCAAAGATCCTTTTTTGTAATGCAAATTTATAAAACATGTTCGAATAAAACATTCTATAACCAATCAAGAACATTAACAAAAAGAAATGTTTATCAAAAACTTCAAATTTTTCTAATTTTCTTGATGCACAAGAATGTTAAATTAAAATGTCATATATATTGAACAAAAAAAAATGGAATAGTTCTGACATCGTTTTGTACATTATATCATGTGAAAGCAGGCAGTGAATTTTAGGCGTAATCACTGTCTTATAAAAAACGTTCATTGCCATTCTTATATTATTTGATGCAAGTACAAATAGATTCTTCACAATATGTTGGCAGCGCCAATTGTTATAATGAAAAGAGAATGAATTATGAAAGCAAGTGGAATTAATGAGTAGTATGGTTACTGAATAATTGAAAAATATTAAAAAAGAATACAGCTAAACTTCTATTTATTAATAAATATTTAAAATCGACAAAATTTGAAATAGTTCTAAAATAAACTAAAGTATTTCAGAGAAACATTATGTAAATATAATTTTTCATCAAGTTTTGAATTTTGTAAAAATTATGTGATTGCGATTTTCAGCACAATATGTAACAGTTAGACGATGCCATCATATATGATTTGTTATTATCCTCAAGACGGAGCATGCGGTACCATAAACGGGAGGCTGTGTACACTGAGACACAGAAACACGCACCACTTTAAACAGTGGAAAATTGCGAGGAATAACCGCCTCCAATGTCATTTCCGCTTACGTACCCCGCGCTCCGCAGCCTCCTGCGTCAAGAAGCGATGCGGCGGCCGAGGATAAAGCGGCGCAGGCGGATAGGACGGACCCGCGTTATCCCACCAGAGGGGTGGATTGCTACGTATCGGTACCATAACCGGGGTAAGCGAGGGTAAGGGTAATGGATGTATGAACGTCGAACGATTCGGTTGCGCGACAATCTGCAAGCACTGCTGACCGGACGCGAAGGAATTGTATCGAGGGTTGCTGTCGTTTTGCAAATGAGACGAATTATTGACCGTGTGCGCGTTGTTGTAACGAGCCTCAGATCGTTGGGGCAGGGGTCCCTGGCCGAGACCCCAGGCGATCTGCTAGCATCTTCGATTGTGACAATGCGTCATGTAATCCTGATAGCTCACGGTGACCTCCTCGCTCTGATAGCGAGTCAGTTTCAGGCTACGACGGATATCGGGTGTAACTAAGCCTTTGAAGCCACCCTTATGTAGCAGAGAATCTATCGTTTGTATCTGGTCCCATCCTGAACATCAGATTATTTCCTCATTAGGACGGCCTCGGCGAAGGGGAGAGAGAGTTTCCTATTGCTTGCCCTAATATTCTATATTGCGGCGGATACGCACCTTGCTCCATAGCTACGCTGGGCAGGTAAGTAGCCGTCCGCTTATTACCCTTCTCATTGTGGAATTCTATGCGAATTCCGTGCACACCCACCTCCCAATCTAAGTAGTCAACCCCATCTTCGAAGTGCCGCAAAATCGACACGCTTACATGCAAGCGTGGCAGCTCGTCTCGAGTTATGGGATTAAACCGAGAGTCTTTGAATGCGCTTTAAAACATATAGAAATACATATCAAAAGCGCGTGACTACTGTGCTAAATTATTCAGCAATACATTATAAGCAATATGCTAAACTTGACATATACATATATATTATGTCAGTATATATTATGTCATATATAATTTATGTATATTAATATATATTATATATATATGTGTTATTATATATATATTATATATATATGTGTGTAACATAATATTAAAATACCGTAATATATATTTATGAATATCTTACATATTTGTAATTTATATATCTAACTATTATTCTATCTTTTAATGTGAGAAACTTTGTCTCACCTAGTTGTAGCGTACTCGCGTAGCCCAGCATGTAAGTGCATCGCGTTAAAAGTACCAATACAACCTCGTAATCTCATATCTTTTCCTATTGTCCATGTCACAAATAAAGGGCTGAAAAGATGTATCTATATTAAAAATGTTCAGATACATTTTTTATATTTTTATCAAAACAGCGAACCATCCAGGGACGGAGAGGGGAAAGCAAAATGAGCCAGAGTGCGTTACATTTTTTTTTGTATTTAGTAAGTTTTAGTCTTGTGCAGGTATAATCAATATTCATCATACAAAATAAACAAATATATTTTTTAAAAAGCATAGTAAAAATAAATATAAAAACAACGGCAAAAATAATTTTTGGATTTATTATCATTTGCCGTAAATTTTCCCGGAGGATAAAATAATAACATATAGACTACTAATATATATAGACTAGAGAGGATGTCTACGACAAAAGCATCGCGATTCTCATTTTAACAATATTCCTCCAGATATGCACCAAAGATAGCAACAAACGTAGCGTCCTCGCTGGCCTACAATGCCTACATAGTTGGCATAGCGTTATACACTGGGAGAAATCAAAGCACGCCGCGATAATGCGTGCACCGCGCGCCGACAGATAATCCACACACGCGAGGACCAAACAATGCGCCAATAATGCATCCCGGTCGATTTCGCAGTTGGATTTCTAGATCGATCGTATCGAGATCAGGGATCGACTGGGAATTCGAAATTCATAACACGCGAACTAAATCAACTAAATATAAAAATAAAAATCGAATACGGTACGGTAGAATATTATATTTTTTCCGTATATCTCTGCAGTAACATAATATATCGAAATTCGATTTTATGATGTTCACCGCGGTTTCACGCTTCGCGTGACCCGGACAACCTGTCATCGGAAATGAAGAGACAACAGCTGACACGGCGCACGAGCGCTAGAGACTGACAGATAGACAGACGGATGCGAGGGGGGAAGACAGAGAGCGAGAAAGAGAGAGAGAGAAAGAGAGAAAAATATAGGACTCCGCGAAAACTACTCACAACGCTTCGTTGCTGAAGTTGGGCGCCTTCGGCGGGTCCAGCTGATGCAGCTGGCAGTAGAGCACGTCGAAGCAGAAGAAGCCCATCTCCGGTTGGGCGATCGTCGCGGGCTTTCTCGGTTGAGGGGTACCGTGCCGTATGGCGGTGCCGTCACACGGCGACAGGCTCGGCGCCCCGCCAGCGCCGCCACCGCCGACGCCCAGCCTCTGCTTCTTCGCGCCGCAGCAGCCAGCAGCCATGTTCCTCTTGGACAGGTCACCAGCGGGCACCGCCGTCCTAGCCCTTCTTCCAGCACCTCGTCCACACGCTTCCTCGCCGCGGTGTATCCAACGTCGACGTCGCCGCCGACGCGTGCCGGATCGCGCCCGCGCTCCGCTAGATGTCGAGCCGACGGTGGCGTGAACAGCTGTTTCATTACCCGCCATTTGTAGTACGGCGTCCGCGTCATCGCGCCATTGATAATTAGCGGTTGTCCCCACCGTTGTCGCCGCTGCTGCTGCTGCTGCTGCCTGCGCGCCCGCACCGCCGCGCCGTGAGCCGTCAAGTTGCCCGCGGATCATGCGCGAGAGAGACCAGTGGGCAGTGTGGCGTCCTCTACGCCGTTTTAAATTCCTACTAGAGAGATATCCATGATTTTTATACTAATCATACTTATATTAATACATTCAGTCTGTTGCATTATTATACATGCAATTTTTTATGTATAGTACAGTGAAAAGTTAAGTTTGAGTTCAAGTCAGTCTTGTAAAATTGCAAGACGTTGGTAAAGAATAATTTAAAGCAATTTAAAGCGTTATACATATATGATGATTAGTAGAATATATGTGCATTTGAATAAGAAAAAAATAATAATATACATTCTAACAATATCAAATGAGACAAATTAGATTTTAATAAGTTGTTTTAAATGATCGTTTTTTTTTTTAGTAATTAATGAACGTGACTGATAATTTGACTTCATATATTTTTAAATAAAATGTACATAATGAGATAGTAAAACTTTGTAACGTATAACACTTTAGAGTTTATTTTAAATATATAATTTGTATTATAGAATTCTACTTTTAAGAATAATATGAAAAAACATTTGAAGAGTCAGATATGTGTAAAATTAATATACATATAAATGCACATATATATACATCAAAACGGTGCATATATAAAGTTATAAATAAAATTCTATCTTGAAATCTGATGCAAATTATAAATCGTCTAAAATGGGCTTAGGAGAAACGCCTACGAGTATCATTATCGGGTAATTATTCGCCTCGTCGCATCCACTATATAAAATGTTACATACAATACTGAATTCCTTTATATTATGCTTCTGGCAAGAGCTTTATAAATTCATTCTATTTGAACATAAATGTATTAAACGAATTAATTTATACAAACATATTAATAATAATAATATTATTATTATTAATGTATTTTATTATTGTAGATACTCTGGGATAAATCCTTTCAAATCCAGTCTGTGGTAAATATTTATGTTAATAAATATAATACATATAAATCGATTATATGGCATGAATAGCGTTCACACATAAGTGTAACAATAAAACCGATCGCATGTTCGAAACCTAATTATCTATATTTTTTTATCACATTGTATCTACAAATTACCCATAATAAAGTGAAGCCCATAATAGACATAGATGTACATTATGTCCATTTAAAATGCACTGCGTATAAGCATATAGAAGATAGTGAGAGAGAGAGAGGGGGGAAAGGGGGGAGAATAAACGAAACTAATGAAAGCTAACGTTAGTCAAATAGTGCCAGATGACAGGTAATTATAATTCTCAGATGAAGTAGTTAATTACGATATAACGAGTTTATCTTTTTTTCTTTTTTGCGTATTTTTCTATTTTTCCAACAGAGAGTGCAAACTGATTAATTATATTTAATCAAGGTACTGCATCATTGGTCTTAATTCGTTTATCTTTTCGATCGTTACGGACACACGGTATCAAATCTCAGGCCGCTGTTTGCCCGACACCCTGTAGAGCGGCGCGCGCGTCTGCGCAAACGGGCGCCGGGAGCCGCGCCGCGAAAATTGCGAAAGCAAGTCGCGGCCGCGCGCGTAATGACGTCGCCGGCAGCAAGGGCACCTGGATTCCTAGTTCCTTACCTGGCACCTGCTGCTGCCTACGATGCACCGCCGCCGTGGAGGCCCGAGGCGTGACAGCGGCATATCAACCTGGCAACGTGCGTGCGTTCGCGGCCGCTCGCTAAGCTACCTGTCACGCGCGCGCAACGAAGTATTTTGACGCGTCGTACGCACCTCGGCGTACTGCATACACCCCGTGTGCCCTCGTTGCCGGAACAAACGGAACGGAAGTGAACGGCCGCGGGAATTCGGAAGCGTGATCGTGTGCGAGGAGAAGTGTAAGTGACGGGTAACGCCGGGACGATATTCACCGGGGCGCGAATTCGATCGATCGGCAGGATCGGCCATGCCCGATCCGATCGGCGTGCAACGAGTCCGGGAATGCGCGAGCCCGGCACGGCGGCGGCGGCTCGCGTCCCGCTGCAGCAACGTGCGGAGCAGAATTTTCGAAGCGTAAACCGCCGAGGAGGAGAGCCACAAGAGTCGCGGAGGCGCCGTGGCGAGTGTGATCTTCGCACGACGGTGACGACCTGCAGACGGCAAAAGGGCAATTTTCTCGGGACTCATCTCGGGTAAGTCATCGAGTCATCTCTTCACGCATATCTCAACGCGTTTATTTATAAGGTCCTCCTCGAGGTTGATACATCCGCGTGCATCTCCGTGCGCGGGCATGTTTACGTAAAACGACGGCGGCGCACGATTAAATGTGAGTCACGTTTGCGCAACCTGACGCCGCGGCCGCGTCGCCCGGCGTGAAGTCACGTTCCCCGATTCTCCAATCTGACCGAAATTTCGACAAACGGGCGGGCGGTCCTTGCTGGCAATTCCGTAAACAGGAGTCGCATATATATCTCACAGTTCCATATCCATGGTTTCCAATATCTATTTGCATAAAAACGAAACTGATTAAAACTGTTTCTTCTCTTTTTCTCTTTGAAAAAAAAAACCGCTTCTGAGACGCGAGAGATGGCAACAGTTGGTCCAAAAAAAACAATATTTTTTTTGCAATTAGAAGCAGGAGTTATGGAGAAGTAATTTTATTCATGTGTTTACTGGAATATTACTTTTTCTCTAAGTGACAATCAATCGATAAACACTTTATTTTCTCTTTGACAAAATAAACGTTCAATAGACGCAAAATATATTATTTAGTAAAAATTTGCTATTATTTTTAAAAAATAACATTTTTATATGAAAATGATAATCGAAGGCAAGGATTATAGAGAAACAATTTTTTACTTGTTTACCAGATCATCACTTTTTCTCCAAGTAAAAATCAATAATAAACATTTTATTTTCTCTTTAAATTAAATAAATGTTTGATAGACACGACAGACGTGAAAATAGTAAAAAATTGCTATTATTTAAAAATAACACTTTTTTATCAAAATGACAGGAATTATGACAAGAAACCAGAAAAACAATTTTTTAGCTTGTTTGTCATTTGAATGTCACTTTTTCAAGCGAAAATTACTTATGGACATTCCATTTTTTCTTTAAAAAAATTAACGTTTTTTGACACGGAAGATAACGATATTAACTTGTTATTTATTCCAGAAAATGATACTTTTTTGTCTAAATAATAATTAGAAGCATGAATTATAGAAAAGTAGTTTTCGAATTGTTTTCTGGAGTATCACACTTTCTCGCAGCAAATATCAGTGATGGACACATCTTATTTTCCCTTTAATTAATTAATGTTTCTGATAGACGCGGAAGGTATAATGGCAAAAATTCGCTATTATTCCACAAAAGTGACGCTCTCTTGTTAAAATGACAGTTGGAAGCAGAAATAATAAAAACGCGACTTTCCATTTGTTTCCCAAAGAGTATTACACTTTCTCGTAGCGAATGTATCGGTGACTGACAAGTTACGTATACATGGGCGAATGCTCATTGCTATAGTGTTATCCCCGTTTTATCGTTCGATCTAATCTTAGGTGAGGTAAGAGTAATTAGTTTCGTAACTCCGAAAACTGTTCGGCCGCTGCGGTGGTTCCCATCGACTCCCCGCAGGAATTAATTAAGATCTCGTATTTTATCACGATAACGGGCATCATTGACTGCGTTTCGTCACACGTTCCGATTCACGTGCCGCAATTATCGCGATGTCTCCGCGAATACAATCACATATAGTCTACAATTCAGTCAGACGCTTCGTAAAAAGCATTATAAATAAATATTGATAAATCGCAATTATTCGAACAAGAGAAACGAATTCATGTTGTATAATTCCACGTATAAATTGAAAACTTTTTTAAGCGCTTTCGCACGACGCTTATATTTAGGTATATTACGTGTTTTAATTGCTTTTAGAAATTCCGCTATTCTTGCGCCGAGATTCTGATTCGATGATTTCGTCACGCTGATTCGTGAATCAAAAGTGATTTCACCGCGACGGCACGTCGATTTGTTACGCTATCGAGCGCTCCTCGGACTTCTCCGCGGAAAATATCGCGACGATTCAACAAAATCGCGCGACTGCCTCCCCTTCCCCTCTCTCCCTCCCTCTTTCATCTAACACGGGATACAATCCTGCCGAAACATACAAAATGCATTTGCTGGTTTAACGCAGTTGCTGTTTGATAATGCACTCGCTCGCATACCGCAGACTCGATTTCGCCATTAGTATTTCACGAAACGAGTAAAAGCAGGTGTTCCGTACTAGGATTTCGGTATGCAATCGTCGCGAGCAATCACAGCAAACGCATATACAGAAGCCGTTAATCGTTAAGACGCTGTAGAATGTGAAGTAAAAATTGCGCCGCAAAATCCCCAGTTAATCGCCGTTTGTATCGCGTTGTCCAGAGCTGCGGGATAGTCTTTTGGTCGTTGGGGAACCGCGCGGAGCTCTCCGAAGGCGCAGGTGATGTAATCGTCACGCAGGTGGATCTCGCGCGCGTAAGAAAAGCACGCGTACTCTTACGCACCAGCTTATAAATTACACGGCCGGAGGGAGGCTGTGGTTTGAGCTGCACTCGTGGTCGTGCACGCGCGCGTCGTAAAATGCAAACAATGCTCCTCCTTCGTCATTCCCCGTAACAATCGCGTCTGTTATCGCCTTTCTCCTTCCCACTTTGTCCGATCTTTTTCCGTCTTCGTCCAATTCCTTTGATTTCCGGTCTTTACTGCGAACGCGTGCACATTTTATTTATATTTGTTTCTTCACCGAGAACCCGCGCATCACTTTCCATTTCGCTTATTGTCTCGCTCTACATGTCAGTCGTTAAAGTTGAAGAAAAATCGCGATATTCCTGTGTTACTGTGAAGTCTCTTACGCGCGAATCTCAAACTTTGTCCTCAACCTTTGATAACGACAACGAAGGATAAGTAGATACTTGAATGCATGTAGTAGGAATGTATTGAATATTTTATTCATTTGCAAAATATAGCCAATGGAGATTTATCATGAATGTGTGGTGGATTGCTGTTGTGAATCGGCAAGCACTTTCTCAAAATAAGATATTGCGTAAAAGTATTTCGAGAAAAATGCCTTTGTGAGAAAGGTGAATTTGAAACGAAATATGAAATATGAAAACGAAAGATTAATTTCTATAAAAAATGGAGAGATTATTTCACTTATGATTATTTCACTTAAATGTATTATAAAGAAAGATTTGTATTAAAAACAATAATTGCTAGTGGTATCTACATTCGAGAATAAATTAAATATCGACTGTTAATTAAAATCACTATAAAATTAGGTAACACATTAATTATGTTTTTATCTTTTTATTATTTTCTAATCTTTCGTTTATCATATAACAAACTATAAAATTATATTATCTATTTATATTAATTTTATCTTTACTTCTCAATTCATATAATTAATAATAAAAAGAAAATTAGATCTTGTCGACTAAACTGATATTCATCTAGTTGGCAGAAATCATATAATATACATATTTGCTGGCAGTCGACGAAATTATTGAAATTATTTAAAGAACAAGTATGCAACGGTGAAATTCGCGTAATGTAAACTGGAAATTCTTCACGATGCTTCTTCATCGTTGCCGTATCTGTCCCTGCCACTTAACAATCGCGTGCCTATTGAGAAACTCTTGCCTTGAGAGGACATTACCTGCCGTTCATCGGTGGTATGCATTCCCACACCTTCACCTTTATACTCCTATGATTTACCGTCTTTCTCAATGAGGTATGCATATATTGAACGTCGCGCGATCACCATGTATGTCATTCATGAACAACTTGAGAAGGAAGAATAACACATATCACAAAATTTCTCCTCTCTTATTAACATACGATTAACTCTTCTAGTATGTTATGAAGAATTTTTAATATTTCCGTGTACACATTGAATATATGTATATGTTTTTAAAGAATTTTATATATATATGAAAATATATTTTGCGTGTATAAAATTATTTCTTATATTAGATTTTATAATATACAAAATTATATTTTAGACTCTATAAAACAAAATTATATATGATAAAAAATTGCACATTGTATATAATAAAATTTTACATATTGGAGTAAATAATATATGTATATAATTATATATATAATATTTTTAAAGAAGTTACATATATTATATACACACGCACACACACACATACGCACACAGCACCACAAACTCACAGAGAATATCCCGTAATTATTGGACAATATTTTAATAGTTTATTGCTGAGATCAATTAGAATCGAAAATAAATTCTAATAAGAAAATGTCGAGGTCACAATAATTTTTTAGTTATAAGCGAAGCAAAGTTGACCAATCGTATTGCGTATAGAACTCACGTGCCCAGGCTCGTAACTACACGTAACAGCTTTACACGCGTACCTATCTGTCAACGCAATCTGGAATGATGTAATCATCAACCGCGTACTACGCTGAACGTGTAGGATCTTTACCACGATCTCGAGATGGCAATACAAGGTCTCGTTATGCGCGGCTGTTCTATCCTAACAACCCGTATTTACCGGGGATCAAACATCCTTCGATTTTCGTTCTTCATAGAACTCCCTTAACGGTAAAAACTTTGATATTCCTAAAGGCTGTAAAAATTCACTTGTTAGACCAGTCTTTCGACTAGAAAAATAGAAAGTTCTGAGGGGACGACGGGACTTTTAAATTGTCTGAAGGATGATCAAAGATCGTCGAAAAAAAAAATTATATAATCATTACTGTGTAAAGATACATCGAATGACATAAATATTGCTTTTGATTTCTCTGTAGAAATTGCTATAAATTTCCCGAACGGTCAAATTTTTTCGAAGATTTGGAATTAGATGCCCTTGTTACATGCTTAAAGTACTTTGGCGAGCAAATACGAGCGGCAAACTGGTTATCGATCGCATTAACGAGCCATTCAGATTCCAAGCTTTAGCGATTCCACACTATTAATTATTCAAATTGAGCGGCGTACTTACATACTATGCATACATACAGTTTCGTATAAATCAGCTGCACGGCGGTTACTTGCTGCGTTCATCGAATAGAACAGAGCACACTGGACTGCGCCAGAGGCGGGGAAATTATGTTCGTAATCGTATCCGAAAGGGTTTCCCTTAGCTGGAAACGTTCTGCCGCCCGAGCGGCTTTGTTGGCTCGCGAATCAGTGATGTATGTGTAAGATTTAAGTCAGCAGCCAATGAAATACATGCCAGGATCGTAAAATAATAAGAAAGAATACAGAGTACGTCTACACAACGGAGAAATTTACCAAATACATTTTATTTTATAGCTTATAGAGTGTGCGTACGTGTCTGCGATTATCGGTGCATCATTCTCTAATCTAATGCAAACAACATACCTATATTTACAAATTGGACAGAAATCGCTGCTATTAATTTATTATCGTTTTAATCTGCGACTTCGTCGCATTAATAGCTTCTTTGATGACAGAAGAGTGACGGTAGAGACGTTGTCATTTGTCCGATGACATCGTATTGTAAGCAGCATGCTAAGATGAAGAAGAAGAACCGTCGTTATGTCAATAACGCACTTGATACAAAACGTGCTTCTTGACGAACGTGCATCCTAGGTGCGCACGCACCCGTACAGTTTCGCTCACGGAAGGTGAATCACCGTGACGAAAGTGCAGGGACCCCTCTTGTGATGCACGTATCTGCGTCGAGATACATACCTCGATTCCATGCAGAACGGAAAAACGGCGCGGCGCAGAGGATCGCGCGCGAATCGCGACGGCAGTGTTTCTCAAACACTTTTTCTCCCCGCGATATAATTTAGCGCGCTATCGAACGCCGATGTTAAACGTCGCGCGACGAGATAAATCGCTCTTCTCTCTTTGCAATTTTTAACGGCGCTCTATATATCAATGCGATGAACGAGCGATATGCCGATCGAAGCAGCGCACCGATGGTGTCTATTTCCACCTCTCGAGCGACTCTACGGAGAGACCGCTTTTCGATCGCGTTTTCTTCAGGTTCTTGAACTCTTCACCCCAACGAAAATAGATAAGAGCCAGTCAGCTCATTTTGGAATCAAATTTGCTCCAATTTCGCATTCGCCAAACGGAGAACTTAATCTGATTACGGTATCTATGTGATATTAAAATGCCTGTCAAACTGTCATTTATTTTTTACATCTCCGGGTCGCTGCACTATTCTGCTGCCAGAGCTTCATGAAAATTTGATTACGTATTTAATATGTGAAGGAAACCTATATCTCTTTTGTCGCGTATTTCGTCGTTATACTATAAAGTGTATCTACGTATAGATGTGGTATGGATAAAGATGAGCGGAGAGAATACATTTGAAAATCTTTCTTGGATTTATTAATACTTAATTTGTTGATCTTTTTACGTATAATCATAAATACAATATTATTTAAAAATATTTGTTCGCTAGTGTAACAGTACTCGTAACGTGACTTCTGGATGCTTGTATGACAATAAGAAAATGTTATAGAGTATTGCAGGTGATTTTTATCGATGATGATTAATTACGGACGCCTCTGAATGATTGATCAAATCCTATGTCGATTTTAAAAGTTTCACACTGCAAAACAGATTCTCTCTAAATATGGACACTCGTATTTTATGACGAAATGTACAATGTTAAAACGGATTTCTATTTTATTTAAACTAGGCTAACACTTACAATTAGTGTGACATTTTATTCATATATATTAAAATTTATATTAGTAGGACTGGTAATAATTACTATTAATACGTTATTAAATAACGTATATTGCAAAGAACAGTCGGTTGTGTTATATTTAAAGTGGATAAAAATAATATAACCGCAATCGTATAGCAACTCGTAATATGGCGGCAGTATAATGTCCTTTGTGATGTATTGAGTGTGCACTTTTGTATAATCATGATAGAAAAATATTATATATCATTGAATCTCTAAAAGACAAAAGGACTCCTTTACTATATTGGAAAAAAACCT